TTAATAAAGCAGTGTGCTAATTATCTGTCTGTATCAGGAGCTGAGACGAGATGGCCTACATCAGGACACCAAGGTCAAGTCCCCCCCGCTTGATGACAAAGAAGCATTGAGAGTCTGTCTCTCTTACCATAGATTCTTCCATCCACAGGCTAAAGGTGACACATTCTCATGGGCTTAATGACTAGTTTCTTTTTCACACTATCTTCATTTCCAATCTTTTATTTGTACCCTTTCATTATTTAGGAAACTATACTATAGCAAACACACTTGGGAATAAAACAAGACTTTGGGAGTAAAAATAAACTAAGAGAAAACATTACTGACAGCTAGTTTCGCGTTAATATATGCTTACTAGTTATGAAAGCAACACACACTCATACTTTGGAAACTTCAATTTTTAAAATTAACTTAATCAAGTTTTACTTATTGCCATGTATGTATGTGGTGGAGAGAGGGGTGTGGGCCTGTCATGGCATGTGTGGAGGTCAGAGGACAGCTTCCTGGAATTGGTCCCTTTTTTTTCTCCTTTACTTGGGTTCTGGGCTTGAAATCAGGTTCTAGACTTGACTGCCCAGTGCCTTTAATGGCTGAGCCGTCTATCTTTCTGGCCCTTGCAGACCTTCATGGAAAAGTTATTATGGCTTTCACATCTCTAACTTCCAAGTCTGCAATCCAAAGAGCTTCCAAGTCGGTAACATTTTAAAGACCCACATGAAGCCACGAGTGGAAAATTCCATCCTCCATTTTGTTCCTGACTGAAATTATTAATTATTAATATTCTCACACAAAACCCAGTGTGACCCTGCTAATCTGTCAAGACCCTCCAATGGCTGACTATGATGCTTCAAGTCAAACCTAACTAACCTCTTGGCTATGAACTGAAGGCTGGCTCGTGTCTACTCTGCTGCCTTCGCCTGCCTACCCTGCCTCTACATTCTGGTCAAGTTCTGTGACATCGTGTGGTCCCCCAACAGACTATGTCCTTTTCTGTCACAGGACTGTCCTTACAGAGTTCTCCAACTGGAAACACCTTGCTTCGTTCTTCACAAGACTGGCACTCTTCAGTCTAGTACCTTTAATTTTTTGGCCACCTAGAACTCATTCTAAAGTTTCTCTGAGTCTCTGATGCCTGCATATGGAATCTGCTCAACCAATACCCACTACATGGCAGACACTAAGATACAAGCCATGGATACAGATGGAGCAGACACATAGTAAAAAACAGTTTCAAGTGACAAACTGCCTGCCTCTGTGTGTGATGAGACACATAGAGCCATCCATGAGTCCTACACTGAGCCCTGGAGCTGAAGACCCACACAGATCAGCACTCTGTCCATATTTGCTAGCTTCCCTGCCATGGTCCTTCTTCATCTTAATTTGGCCTTCGGGTCTTGGCTTCTCCTAGCTCGTGAAGAACTGGGGGGGACTACTGAAGTGAGGCAGAGTCTTGGGGTCCCAACTTAGGCAAGGTAGTGAGGGACAGAGGGAGAGTAGAACATTTCATTCATGGGAAAAGTCTTAGAACCAAGAGAAAACAGGGAACCAGTGTCAGTGGTTACATGCATGCTTAGCGTTCATGAGACCCTACATCCCAGCAGCCACTTAGAAAACAGGACAGGCACCTTCAAGGAACTTGACAAGAAGGGGACACAAAGACTACAATGCAGGAGCAAAGGCCTGTTACAATCTCTCAGATCGTGCAGAAGTAACAGGTAACAACAGGAAGAACAGTGTCCTTCTTAGACAAGAGCTTAGGGAGACCTCAGGACTGCCACATGAGTTGATGCAGAAAGCAGGGTAGGAGCGAACACGTCCTGGTGAGATACAGGAGGAAAGGGAAGGGAAGCAAAACGAAGGAAGCATTCTTGGAGAAGTAAAGATCAACGCTATCAACTCCTATTGCCCATTTTCTCTGAGATGCTTTTATTTGTGGCCTCAGTTGGCAGAACAAATCCTCTATCCATTTCTGAGTTTGGCAGTCTTAACAGATGACTGATGGGCCTCAGGACAACATTATTTAAAATGGGCTCGAGGCCACACAGGCTTGGTAATACAGAACCATTTTGGAATTCTAAATTTTGGAATTTAGAAAGGCAATATGATGAGTGTGCGTGTGTGCATGCATGCATGTGCATATGTATACAGATACTTACATACACACACATTCATACACATATATATTTTTATAATATATTTATAAAACACTTCAACCAGGGACTAGGTTAACATTTATTTGCTACAGAAAAATATATGTATATTAATGGAAGGTGAATAGTCACACCAAGAAGCACACACACATCTGTACATAGTCACCAGGGTCAGGTGGGCATCTCACAGCCTTACCTCCTCCATGGGGATAACCTGAGCATATCCGCCACCTGCGGCTCCTCCTAGACAAGAGAGCAAGCACAGTGAGGTGAGTCCCCAGATCTAGTTACACAACAGACACAGACTAAAGGACGCTACTCATACCCAGTGGGGAGGCCTGCTAATGCCCAGAGACTCTATCCATACAAACAAAAACAGCGCACTGTGTCCAGCAATGCCATTTTAGGCCTTCTGTTTCTTTGAATAAAAAGGAAGGTTGGCACAGGCCTACAATCACAACTCCTAGAGAAACTGAGAGGAGTGTCAGGGATTCAAGGCCTGCCGGCTAACAGAGTGAGCTGAAGGCTAGCCTAGGCAACACAGCAAGGTCCTACTTTTAAAAAAATGTGAAAAAAAATGTGAAACAAAAAATGTCCCCAAAGGTAAATACAATACAGCAAATATCAGTACCATAAAACACATATTTCAGGATAAGAGATTATTTTATTAAATTCACTTTAGGGTCTACATTGGTTATGTTTCATCTAAGTCATACATAGAATAAAACCTAACGCCCCCTTAACAGACTTGGTGGAACACTCAAAAGGCAGACTCAGGAGGATTACGACAAACCCAAAGCCAGCCTGGTCTGCAGAGCGAGAACATCCCTCAGAAATAACAGAATGGGTGTGTGTATGGGGGAAGTAGGGAGGAAGGAAGGAGAAGACAAGGGGAGGGGGAAGGAGAACTTGAGGGAACGGGATAGTAGAGATGGAGGGAGGACAGAGATGAGAACAAGGAAGGAAATATTTTGATTGAGGGAGCCATTATGGGGCTAGCAAGAAACCTGGGACTAAAATTCCAGCTAAGACCCTAAGCAATAGAGGAGAGGGTGCCTGAATTGGACAAGCTATTGGGGTTCAATCTTCAGCACCATGTAAGCCAAACAACAACAAAACCAAAAAATATTTACCTCAGACATGAAAATGATAAACTTCAGGTAATTCATCTGATGGTTGCTTATCCCTCCCAATATTAGTTATCATACTAGACACTAGTCTCTCACACGCGTACGCCATTTTGCAACATAGCCTGCTCTTTGCATGTTATTTGAGTCTCACAACAGCCGGATGAGCCTGGTGCTACAAGCCCTTCTACACCTATAGATGGGGTCAGAGACGTGCAGATTGGCTGTAGACCTTGCAGAGGTGAGAGACACCAGCCATGAACAAGACCCTGGTCCCTCTGTTCTAAGTCTCATGTCCAATCTGCTTCATAATGCATGGCCCTCCAGGAGGAATCAGTACTTAATGGGTTAGGAATTATTAATATTTGTAACAGTGATATAAATAAAATACAGTTAAAAACCGCACGCTGCCAAGAACACGCAGTAATTGCGGCAGTAAGGGCCGAGGAGTGACTTCATGATAAATCAACAGAGCGGGAGTAATGAAGGGGAAGGTGCCAGACATCAGCTCCACTAAGCCAGAGAGGAATTTCCTTACGGCTCTGCAAACAGCCAGTTGTCTCCTCTCCAGAGCTCCTTGGCCCCACACAGCAACTCCCACAAGTTGCGACTTGGGGCCTGCCCTAAAGAGCTCATCTGTGTACGGGAAGAGACCTCTCACTGTGGCTGGGATGATAAGGCTCCAATGAGATGGGCAGAGTTTCAAAACCGCTTGGCGAAGGAGAAGGGGATGATACAGAAGACGCTGCTGGAGGCAGAAGTTCTGAGCAACAGCGCCAAGAGATCAGCTTCCTGGGGCTCCACAGACGACCTCCCCACCCCAGCCCTGCAGCAACCTCTGCATGCCTTTACACACTAGGAGGTTCAAATTGGGGTGATGCTTGAGTGTTCAGGGGATACAGAGGAATGATCAGCCAGCTCTTTGCAAACATTTAATTCCATCTTCGAGTCTCATGTTCAGTTGGAACTTTTATGGCCCTAATGGTACCTTTCACTCCAAACGTGGGTCCCTGGGAAGGCTGCCTCAGACAGGCGAAGGAGTTGACGTGCAGGTGGGCGGTCAGGGCCTGCACCAGTCCGATGGTGACTGTACTCTTCCCTTCTCCAAGCGGGGTGGGTGTGATCCTAGTTTGGAGGGAGATGAATGAATTTAATTGCATTTCCAAGACAACACTTATGAAAACCAAGCTGAGATCTCAAGTCCAAATCCAAGGACATAGGTAGTGAGCAGAGCTTACCCTGCATACTCGATACCATGGTTTCTTAGATTGTTCCCTGGCGTAGCACACGGGCCAAGTTTAAGCTAAAGTCAGAGGCACAAAAGTGAAAGGCTACATGGTCAAAAAGGAGAGTCCCTGGGCGACAGTCTTGGCAATGTTCATTTTAGGGAGGGGCACAAAGCTAGTCGCTAAAATAGTTGAAACCACCAACTTGACATGGTGGCTTTTTGGGCTATCTGTCTCTTGCTTTCCAGAGCTATTTATTAGGGGTAAGGTGGGTGAAAGGACTTTGTCAAAGGTTGCCGAGTGAGTGAGGTAGGGCCAGAGTCTCAAGATTAGAAGGGATCCCAAAGTCCCTACTGGCCAAGGTACCAGATGTTCATGGTCAGGTCTGGATCCCACCATATCCAACAGGTAGACATGAGCTCATTATTGCCAGGTGACATTGTGCATGTGTGCGTGTGTGTGTATGTACGTGTGTGTTCCCACACGTGTTTTAATGGATATTGGAATTGGAATGCTTCGTGAATTTGCGTGTCATCCTTGCGCAGGCGCCATGCTAATCTTCCTTGTACGGTTCTAATTTTAGTCTATGTGTTGCCAAAGCAAGCCCACTAGGTGACATTTCTAGGTACAGGTTTTATAGGTAAGTCTCTTGTTCCAAAGGAGACATCTGAATCCCTGTTGTTGCCTACATCGTAGGAGGTCCCACTAATCCAGGGCCCGTGGTCCACATACACCTCATAACTTGGCCCAACACACGATCCATAAACTTCCTTAAAGCACTGAGGTTTTTAACAAACCTTTTCTTGTTTAACTAAACTATGTGCTTTGTGATTAGAAATTTTATAGAAGCCAACATTGTGAATCAATGTCAAAAGTGTGGATCCGCCTGTTGACTCCTTTCCTATACAACAGGCTTTCAAATGCTGGATGAGAAAGTCTGAGTCCCACTGCACACCCAGGAGGGAACCCTTGCACGGAGGAGCTGACCTTCCAGGATACCACACAAAGACATATTTCCGCATGGCCATAATATTGCTGCATTTTGTGATATTTCATTCCCGAGTAAGGTCCCATAGCACCATCCTACAGTATACTTTAACCATCACTAAAATTCCTTAAATTTTCTCTTCAATGCTTACAACCTCATCTTTTATGAGTTAAATGGTGTGAGCCAGGGTGTCTAGGAAACTCAGTTACAACAAAGCTTATGGACAGAGTTTTTTCTAACCTACAAAACCTGGTGACGTTATCACGAGGAGGAAGGCATTCCTTCAGATACATCTTTGCCCCAGCTATCTCAGAGTAACGCAGTGACATGATCTGTTGCTCATTTATACAATAAATACTTATTCAGTACTATCACGAGTCAGGGTCTGGGCTAGATCCTGGAACACAAAGGCAACCATGTCAGAACCTGTGTCCCCCTCCCAGGATGTCTAACTGATGGGAGATACAGATAATTCAGTGAATATAGCAACTGTGATAAACAGCAACAAGGGGAAACGGGGCAAGCGCTGTATTAAGAGTATCGGAACGAGCTTCCGCTCACTTCAGAAACCAAGGGGAGCTTCCTGCAGACCGCACAGCTAAGCTGGGATGTGACTATCAGATAAATATTCCCTGGATGAAAAGAGCCAAAGACAAGGCATTGCACTCTGGTCTTTCATCTGCTCTAGCTGGTTTTCCTACAGAGGGAAAGTGCCACAGCCGACACTTCAAAGCACCAACTGGGTAAGATCACCCAGGGAGTGTACGCGCTGTAAGAAAAAAGATGAGAATAGAGCCATTGGGTACGTTTTCCTTTAAGGAACAGTCAGAAAAGGCAAAAAAAAGAATCAAAGAAGGAAATCTGGAGAAGAAAAGAGGACATGACATAGCTCGGAAGGAGGCTGGGAAAGACCACGTCTAGAGATGAAGAGCCACCAAGGACTGAAGCAGGGCGAGGACCAAAAAGAACTGAGGAGTTTAGTGACAAGGAGGTCGCTGTTGACCGCTATACAGCAGGGATTTCTGATGAGCCAGTTTAGGTATTGATGAAATAAACCGGAAATGCCCAGGTCACAGGAAGAGGGCTTATCAGGCCCCTGTCCAACTGTCTAAATAGCACAGTATGAGGAGAATCAATATGGAGACCATTACCCAAGGCTCTGAGTTAAGTTCACACTGAAGTAAATACAACACAAGTGAAAGAAAGGCAAAACCCACAGACATCACTGGCTTGCAAAAGCCACCCATTGTTCGTAAAGCTGCGCTTTATGTCACACGGAGGATCCCATTTTCTCTCCCAGGGATATGCTGGCAGAGCTGAGGAAGACACGCCCAGTGATGACCTCAAACTTCAGCCAGCCATCCAATTCTTAATTGGAAACACAGGACTGTTGAGCTTGCTGCCAACGAACACAAGGCAGCAAAAGTCACAAAGTAGGAAGTATTTATTGGAAGCAATAAATGAGAGCTGCAATAAAATTTTATTTCTCCCCACCTCTGCATTTGATATCAAAATTTGGTTTAATTTTTCCCCCATATCCTTAGCTCCGATCCCAAATCATCAGGTTGGTTTCAAAAAAGAGTAAAGTTTCCCTTTCTGTTTCTAGGAAGCCTCTTTGTTGTGGAAATGGTACCGGGAGCTTTTCTTACCATCTCTGAGCTCCAGTTTGCCTTCCTGATTTTTATGACTTTTCAGATGACATTATAATAAAATTTTTGACATGCTAAGGTGAAGAAAAAAATGCCTTCACTTCTTGCCTTAGTGTCACCCGACCAGGCCACACATCATCATCATCAACGACAAGAAAAATGTCTGACAATATTATGAAGGCTTTTCTTAGATAGGGACTGTTTGCTGCTAATGACAGTAGGATTCATCAAGATAGCCTGTGACGACTGGAAAGAAGCTGATTCAAAAGCCAGAGAGATTTCTTATGCAGAGACAAAGGTAAAGATCTGGAGTACATTTAAAATCGAGTTTTGTCAAACAGTATCATGGGCACCAGCTATGCATGGCCTGACCATGACCTCCAAAGCTACATGCGCAAACAGCTATAAACATACATCACTCATCCCAGGCATCTTTATGGCGGTGAAGGTTTTAAAAGCCCTTTACTATCTAACAATAAATGTGACCGTCCATCGGGGTGTTTTCCTCATTATAGCTGTTGGAGGTGAAGAGTTCAAAGGCCGCGTTGGCACTTGTTTCTTCTAATGATCCACGTCCTCTCTGCCATCAGTACAACCTAAAGAAAACTCACAGACGTTCAAATGGCGGCTTGAGAAAGGGAAAGTCTTACAAAGTCAGGACAGTTGTCTCTTAAGTTGCACCAAAATAAAGGGTTAAAACATTCAAAGAAAGAAATTTTAAATCGGATATTTAGCATTCTGAAAAAGCAAAATAAAACAAAACTGACACAGAGAATCTACATTTTCCTCCCGTGAGAAATTCAGTCTATATTCACGGAGTAGTTTGGACTTTTAAAAACCCTTCTGTCCATTGAATTCAGACATTCTAGAATCTTCTGTAGGGTAGATGGTGCCGGACTAATCGAGGCCCAGGACATATCAAAAGGCCTGCAGCTGCACCCCATGTCAAGTTCTCACACAAAATCCCTTTTCACTAGTGTAACTGGGAAAATATGTAAAACTCCAGAGTCCCCAAGAATCTTTTGGCGTATTTCCCCGGGCAATTTCCAATACTTTTTATTTTGTCAGGCAAAGCAAATACAGCCGTGTGTAGGTGTAAACATCGTGCGATGTGTAGCCAGTGGGAGGGCAGGTCATTCCCTCTGAAGATGAAATCCTACAACCTGAAGAATGGCTTTTAAGATGGTGGGTGTGGGGCTAATCTGGTCTCCATTTGAATTATCAACAATTCAATTAAAAAAGAATGAAACCTCCACTCTTCCATATTTTCATCCCACTGTTGATAGGTTTAGATTAAATTTTTGAAAAACTTTCTTGGGTATCTGAAGTCTCTAAAATATGGTAGAGTGTTATGCTACAGAATTCAGAGAGAACGGGAGGATGCTAATGTTATTTCTAATGTGATCTTTAATGTAAACAGGATGGGCATAACAAAGGTAAAATCCTGGAAGGAAATAGAAAAAATGAACACTTCCGAGCAGTGAGATAGTTTAGTTTCTCCTTCTTCTGACTCTTCTTTATGCTGCGCTTTCCATAAGAGTTCAATACTATTTTCCAAATAAAAAGAAAATTTCAAAAAATGGGGAAGAATATTTCTCTTTTGAGGGGCCATTTATATTCTTAAAAACTGCCACAGTGCATGGAAGAGTTGATTTTATCATTTCCCTCTAGCTTTTCATCTGACTAAAAGTAAAAAAAAGAAGGGAGGTGACTTTTATGTCAAATTTCAGTTTCCATTTTGAGATTATAACCATGTGTCTGACGTCAATCATCCAGCTGCCAAAACTAGTTAACACACTGATAAATATATCAGGCATTGTATTTGAAGGATAATTAAGTAGTTAATTTAATTGAGCCAGGATCTCATTGTGTAGCCTGGTTGGCCTGGAACTCGCTTGGTGGCGAACACTAGCCTTAAACTAATAACTGAACTATATCTGTCTCCCAAGGGATAGGATTCAAGGCATGTGCCACCACACCTGACTCCTGAATTTGCTGTTCATATAGAATACAGCGTGGCATGGGCTCTCTAGAAACCACACATTTCTGTCATGGGTGTGCTCAGGACTCAACAACATCACCTTCACAGGTTGTCTTTTGCTTTGTTGTATGGTTTTGAATAGAGCAGAAAGTTAGACCCCTTCCAACGGAGAGGGTTTAACGCATAGTCTCAGGGAAGGAATGATTGCTCGCCTGTCGCTAAATCTGCCCTTGAGGACTCTAGTTCAGTTTGCATTTTCCTTTACGTGGTATGCTTGCTCCGGCTGGGTCACACGTACCATGTAGCAATGGGGCAATGCGGAGCAATGTTTCACTGAGTGTGGACTGCTGGGAATGAGCCATCAGCCAAGCTGCCCAGGGTTGTCTAGCCCAGGGCTTCCTAATACTACTTCACCCGTGAATCTTTTCAACCAAGGAATTTTTGTGTAATCTCAGGTATACAAAATAGGCATGCAAATCAAACATTAATTAATAATAATTATAAATGTAAAAACTCAATTTGTTGGTGTATATGTAATTTTACCATTTATTAAAAAGGAAAGTGAATTTGCTTACTAAGATGGACGTGCAATGGTTTTTAATATAAGAATTAAACCTTGGGTGCATATTCAATACTATAGGATACAAGCCATCTTCGTTATTTTTTAGAGTTGAAAGACATTTTGACTTAATAATCATCAATGATGAGAATGCTGCTTTGCATAAATATGTCATATAAAAATAGCAGGAGCATGTTTAGGGCCACTGTAGAAACTGATAGAAATTTTGTTCTAATCCCAAGCTAAATTCATCTAATCATTTTTTTTTCATGAAACTCAAGCCAGAAAGTCAACCTTTGAAAAATCAAACACTCTAACACAATACAACCTAAAGATACTTAGAAGCTAAAAATAATGGAAAGAAAATATTAAATATCAAAAGCCTTCCTCCTCCATAGTTAAACCAGTGTATTTCTATCAGAGCAGGA